CTGGTCCTTGATAGTTTTTATCCAATATATTCGGCGCCACACCATGATATGAAAAACACATCACCATACCATAATACTGAATGATATTCCATATTTGGGGGCGCCTTACGAACTGCCGAGCCTTTACCACCGTATATAAACATTTTTGATTCATCCGTCCACAGAATGTTCCTCCGCTTCCGAAAAGGCGAATCCAGGTGTTTTTTGGCAAAATCTGGTTTGCGTATCACATGATTTTTTTCAAAAGCGGTACTTTACGTGGACTTCTAGCACAAAGTTTGTGTTCTTGGAGCTGTCTCTTTACTGTGTGAACACTACATGATAACTTTAGGTTATCCAAACTTTCTAAAGCTGACATTGTGGGACGAGTCTTCGAATATTTAATTATCTGCCGTATGTTAGGCGTTGATAATTCCTGCTTACCACCCCGTTTTTCAGGTTTATTTTGATACATTAACGTATTTCGAATCATGGAGGCTGAACATCCACCAAATTTTTCCACTTCTTTATATGTTTTCAAGGAATGAAACCGATTCCAAATAACGTTCCGGTTTGGGTTTCGGTTTTGCCAAGTGTTTCGGTTTCGGTTTTGTTTCGTTCTTCAAAATTTATTTCGGTTTTGGTTTCGGTTTCGTTCCGGTTTCGGTTTTTCACAGAAATTTTGTTGATATTATTTAAATCACAATGTCTTAAACGTTGAGGAAAGAAAATCGAAAATTACAGTTCACTGATAATATCAACACTAGGTTCTTTCCCTAACAATCCGGACCGGATTTGGTAATTAGAGAATAAGAGAAACATTTTCTTTCAAAAATGGAACAAAGTTCAGAAGTACGGAAACGCAAAACCCACATTTCGTGCCCACAAATCGGGAAACAGCTGATTCACGTTGTTCTTGTTTTTGTCACTTATACCATGTTCTGACCGACATCGGAAACATGTTTTCGTTGCTAAAACTGGTTTTCGACCTAAAACTTGTGTTTTCGTCCATATAAAATCTGTTAAACGAAAACCAGTTTTCGCTGAAAACTACTTGAAAACTCACTTTCCACTCATTCCAATCGGTGTCTTCACTAGTTTTTTTCGATTATTTATCGAAGTCATATTTTATCATCTTTAATACGCCATTTCGGATATATTGTTAATTGCCTGGCCAAAGCATAATAAGAATGAAAGTTAAAGGTTGTAAATGAAAAGAAAATGAAGGAAAAATGTTTTGGTTGTCGGTCAGAACATGGTATTAAATGCAAACACTTGGAAATTGAATTTTGGTTTCACAAATTTGATTTTAAGTACATAGATTGAAAATACATAACAGGCCATTCACTTTTCCTTAAAAGCACCAGGTAAATGCAGGCAACATGTAAACACAATACAGCTGATATGCACTTTGACACTTTATCCATTTTTACCCGGAGAAAATTTCGGGCTGTTTCGGGCAGGAAGAAGAATACACTCACGATCGAATACGCTCGAATTTTCGCTCTCTATTACCCATTTTGTTGAGTACAGGCATGATTTCTGGGCTATTTTGGGCACACGCGGGATCTCGCATTGCGTACGGGAAAGAAACTACTTAAATATAATTAATCGATTATCGATTCACAACAACAAAGTTATCAGCAGATTTTTGCGAAAAGTTACCTTGCCATACTTATTTACTACTTAACAAGAATTTTAGTAAAATGTTGCTGATTTTGGTTAAATAAATCATTTATATCAAAGAAATTTATATTTATTATTTTTGTAAATTTCTGGAAACTGATTGAAACCTGTGATTGAAATGGTTTCGGTATCGTTCCTTTTCAGGTCAAGATAACGGTTACGGTTTCGGTTTCGGTTTTGAAAAACGAAACGGTTTTAAACGGTTACGGTTTCGGTTTGGGTTTCGGTTTCATTCCTTGTATGTTTTCCCCATTTTTTAATAAGGGTTTTAGTAATTTCATGTTTTTCGTGACCTCGGTGCAGACTTCGTACCATTAAAAATTACAGAAATGCGTTTTGGTCTATTCCGGCTGAATGTATAACAAACCAAGTCATTAAACTTACTTCTTATTCCAAAAACTAAAATATTTGCAATTGAAGTTAAATTTTTCGATTTTTTGTTTGTTATGTGCTACTATCTCACTGCTCGCCTTAAATGCTTTTTACAACAGGGGATATTTCTAAAAAAATTAAACCGTAGCTGTTGAACGGTTTGAAATTTGCATAGAGTTAAATCATACACTTAAGATGATAATTAAAAAAAAAAAACTCGATTCCAATATGGCGTAGTATGCGGCATCAAGGACATAGTGCATCTCACAACTGCGCACTACTATTTCAGTGATCGTAACTGTACATACAAATTAGGCCTTGAGGGCCAGGGTAGCCTAGCTGACATTTCAAAAAAAAATGTTGAGGTGCACCTTAAAATGCATTACTAGATTCAAAACGGTAATAGCCCTAGGTACGAACTTTTAGTTTTCTTTTACTATAGCATGTAG